ACAGCCTGACCCTGTTGCTTTAGGGATGTGCACGTAATTCTCCAAGGGAAGCGTCAAAGAGAGTCTGGGCTGCTGTACCTGGGTGCACTTCCTGGCATTTCTCCATCCTGTTCCCTACAGGTGAATATGCTCAGGCACCTCCTTCAGGACCTGCTCCCACTATGCAGTGCTCTCTTCCACCTTCTATCACTAGTACCTTACTAGTACCTTCCGTCAGCGAATATAGTGATCATGTCACAGTGTTCAGTGGCTTGATATAGCACAGAAAGTCATCACTTAACAGCATCAGTGGGTTCTTGGAAACTGCTACTTTCAGCAGAAGGACATAGAACAAAATCAGCAGTAGCACAGGCTAGTTGCTATAAACAAGAGTTAAGTTCCCAGGCGTATTTCTGGTCACAAAACATCACCAAAATTCTAAATAAAGACTAAAACACTTCTGATATTAAGGATTTGAAATAAATGTGAGCCATCCACCTAAGAAAGACAAATAAAAACAAGATAATTATTTGCAGGGTCTCAGGTGGCCAGAGACTGTCGCAGCAGCCCCAGGTTCCAGGCAGGAGCCTGCCCTGGACAGGATGCCACCCTCTCACAGGGCATACTCACTCACACTGGGACCACTGGAACAGCCCACTTGTCTGCCATACACAGCTTCGGAATGTGAGAGGAAACCAGAGTACCCGGAGAAAACCCACGCAGACGTGGGGAGAGGAGAACGTGCCAGCTGCATGCAGACAGTAGCCCCAGCCAGGAGGTGATTTTGTTTCTCATCAGTGTTATCATGAAATGATATTATCTGGGCACCTGTTGTACTCTCCACTGAATGACTGCATTTTAAAAGAAATTTTGAGGGAGAACCCGTGTGTCGTGAGCAGGGCAAACAAGATCAGACATAACCAGGTCCATGAACATTTGTGTCTTTCCACAAGGTCAGGCTTTTATTCATACTGTTTCCATCATAAAATCCATGTGCTCTATGCAGTTTCCAAGGAGGGACTTCTTAATACTTTCCATGCACTCGGTAATCAGAGCTGTGGTCACACAGGCTCAAGCCACTCCACAGGTCAGTCAGTACTGCAAACCATACCTAATAGTATACTTAATATATAAATGTTTAGATTAAACATTCCACATCAAACAGAGTAACATTTAACATTGAGAGATAAGGGGAGAGGAAAAGGGGTTAATGAACCAGTCCAAGGACAGTGACATGGACAAGGAGAGGGTCCTGGGCTTATCTGGACGCACAGCATCATCTTGCATGGAAGAGCCCTTGATTTGGCGGCAGATGCTGGGTGCTGATCATGAGTGACAGCAAGATGGAGCCTGTCAAGATGGCCATCTGGAGTTGTAGAAGTCCTGTTCATTATGGCCCTTGAGCCCTTTGGTGAGGACGACAGTAAAGGGTTATGCCCTTAATCTGGTTGGGAGTTGTCTCTGTTGATTACGCAAACATCTAGACCATGTTGGTTGGATGCCTTTTGAAATGTGAAATGGAGTCATTTTCTAAGATAAAATCACTTATGTCAGAGGTGCTCTGTACACCGTGTAATCCCTGCTGGTAACATTTCTGTCCTTAGGAGATATCTGGGGAGGGAGGAACCCTGTACCTTCATTATTCCTCTTGGATCACCTCTTGCTTCTCGGGCCTGCTGTTAGTTGGCTCCATGTCTCAGGACCTGCATACCCAAGCCCTCACTCCTCTCTCAGCTGCTACGAATGAGGCAAGGAGGCGTTTGGTGCCAGCTTACACTGTTCCAACCTAGCTGGTGTTTCCAAAGGGCCTTTGGGAGCCTCAGCCTGTCCCTTACAATCCTAGCGTCCTGGTGGCAATGTTTCTGAGCTATTCCACACGTGGTCACCGTCACTTCAAGGTAAATTAGTGTCATCAGAAAATTGGGGACCGAGGTCAAGGGCAATTACTGGGTTGAGAACCATCCCTTGGAGGTAGATAGTAATGATGGCAGTTTTCAAAATGGTTTCAGTGTTTTAACTCCTGTGTTGTAGGTAGAATGGATATTATTGTCCTCATCTCAAAGATTAGGATCTTAAGTCTTAGAAGCTGAAGTGACTTCCTCGGGATAATGAATCCCAGGATGAGATGAGGCCATCCAGACATTCCAGCCTCCACCCTGTGCAGGGCCCTCAGCATCCATCCTCTCTGAGTTTCCGTTGGTTCTATGTTGGCGCAGCTTAGGCTTGTAGGAGTTGTCTTGACCTTCCTGATGCTTGGAGCTGTCCATGACTCATGGGTCATCACAGGGGACGGAACCACAGAGCATAAAGTGAAACCTAGCCGTGCCTAGGGATGAGTCAGCAGTTAGCTTTCTGACTGACAGCCTTGTCTATGCTCAAAGGCACCAGCTCAGTGTCAGCAGGGCCTGACCACTCGCAGGCAGAACATTGTGTGGGAGTCAGGGGTTCATGAATGTGTTTGCTTCTTGGTCCTTCAGAGGTAGGCTCTCCCTTAAATGAGACAGTGTTGCCTGCTGTGCCCTTCCTGGGTTTTCAGCCTGGCTCTTCCCTTCTTAGGAAGGTGGCTTTGGGTCAGACCCTGGACCTCTCCTCAGCTCTGAGATGAAGAATAACTATACCTTTCTCCAAGCCATGAATGTGGGTGACAACTGAACTGCCACCATGAACAGTGGTGTCGGCACCCACCGACTTTCCCCCCGCCTGCCCACATGGTCCCACCGTGAGGACCAGTGGGAATGATGATTCAGCAGCAAGTGGACTATCCAGATTAATTGGGGGTCACCTTTGTATGAAGGCCAAGGGTTCCCTGAAGCTACCTAGAAAGGGATAGATGGGCATGCAAACTCCAGAAGACACCATCATCCCAGAGGAGAGCAGGTCTTAACTGGAGTGAGCCTCGGGTTCCTGTCTATTTCATGTAAGGAGTTTCGGCTTCATGAGTAGCTCGTCTTACTGGTGTAGACCGGCCCTGAGAGCTCGCGTTCTTAGAAGTGTTGTTGCGCTCACAGCTATTGCACCTGTGTAGAAGGGCTGCCCTCTGTTGCTGAACCATTACAGACCCAAATAGAAAAGCCACAGCAAGCAAGCCTGTTTATGGGTTGGCCAGTTAAAGTCTGCTCATCCTAATGAGGCCACGTTCTGGAATGTTGTTTTGTGGAAAGGGAAGGTCAAAAACATAAAAGCATTTGATTTGCTGCAAATTTTGCCTAAACCATTGAGCTTTTCCCCTGCTAGGCACATTGGGTTACTGTAAATGTGCTGAGGTTTTCCCAGTCTCTTCCTAGAATAAAGCCACATCCATTCACTTTGGTTCTTTCCTCATCTTATCAATGAAATGCAAGTGGGTACTTCTGAGTTATTTTCTGTTGAGAACAGCATCTCTGCTGTTCTCTTTTTAATACACTCATTAGTTCGGTGGAGAAAAGGGTTTATTCTTGGACTTAGCTCATATCTTTGTAACTGAGTGCCTCCTGTGAAGTATTACAGTGTATTGCTGGGAAGAATTAGCACTAATAAAGCACTCTGGCTTCTAAAAGTTAACTGTGTGCTTCTGTGCCTCCCACCCTTTTTCATATCACAGCACACGTAAAAACCTACCCGGGTTTGTGGAACACCCTAGGGAAATTGACAAGGCTGCTGTGGGCTGAAGTGGCAGCCGTGTCACTCCAGCCACTGAGAGGGCTGATGGGGGCCGCTGGGACTCACGCCTCATGCCCTTTAACTCACTATACTGGTGGAGACATTCTGTGCTAAGTAAGCCTTGTTAGCTAAGGGTTTGTTGGATTCCCACTCCCAGCCCCTGCCGGCCTAAGGTGTTGGTATAAATTGAAAAAAGAACTGTTTCAGCTGGTAGTGATAACTGTCACCCAATACAGCCACTGGGCCTGTGCTTCCGTGTCAGAACACTGAGGTGATCAGGTGACTCCTTTCCCAGTCTCGCTGTGACCGAGTCGGTGGCCTGCCTGGGCAGTGAGCAGTGGAGCGGGAACGGCAGACATATGGGCGCGGTGAAAAGCAGGAGCCCCAGGTCCTCATGCCCGAGGCCCCCTGCTCTCAGATGTCCAGAAAGTGCACGGTTGTTCGGCAGGGAATCAAATGTTAGATACATATATACTGTAAAAGCCCACTAATTCAGAGTTTGTGATAAAAATATTTAATTTTTCCATCCATGGCAAAGCGGTCTGTGAAATAATTAAACATGATCATTTAGAACAGGCTTTTGTTATTCAGATATGCACTTCCCCGATTGCATATTTGAAAACAGGCTTTTCTGGATTACAAAAGTAATACATGTTTATTGTAGTAAAAATAGAAGCATTAAAAAATACGTAGAAGGAAATGAACATAGAGATGAAAATGAACAGGAGGGATGACTGTTTTAAACAGTGTCAGTATGTTTCTCTTTCCAGGCCACTAGCTAATAACCTATACTGGGCACTAAGTTGTATTTAGTTTTTCACTAAAACGGATGTTTTTCAGTCAAACAGATTGGGAGTGTAGTTGCAAGGTCACTCAGTAAGAATGTTTCTGTGTCCCCTTTTCCTGAGATAGAGAGCCTTCTTTTATTTCTCCCTAGCTATTAAATATTCATTGACATCCAAATCTCTATTGAGTGATAAATTTGCACAGTATATTATGTGAAAAAGATTAGAAAAGCATATTCATAACGTGATCCCATTTGGGAAAATATATATTTAACTGGGAAAAAAATTTATATAAACAAAAGTTTTTTGATCCTTGTACTGTTTATCTAGCTGGTTTTCTACCAAAATACTAATGCTGATGGCCTTTCAGTGATGAGATCTGGGACGGCTTTGCCTCTCTTTGATATAGCCCTGTGTGGTCTCCTGATTGGTTTATAATGAGCACATTGTGGAATCAGAACAAAAAAGCCATTTCCATTTTGAAATGGAAAGCAGAACGTTTCCTGAAATGCTTTGCGTGCAACACACTGGAAATGCAAAGTGATCGCATGGGCCACGCAGGGGAACACGCCTGACCTCCTCTTCTCTCTGTTCCAGGAAGGCGTGGAAGTACGAGTGGCCAGAATCTTCAACACCTTTGGACCACGCATGCACATGAATGATGGGCGGGTGGTCAGCAACTTCATCCTGCAGGCGCTCCAAGGGGAGCCGCTCACGGTAGGTGCTGGCCTCGGCGCAGGGAACACATTACAACCCAAATCGAAGTCAGCTCACAAAGGATGAGGGACGAGTGCATCTCGGTTCGGGGAGTGACACTTCTCAAGCTGCCATGTCGTGTTTGTGTTCATCCCCGCTGCCCTCCACTAGGGGGAAGGCAGGCACGGGGACAGAACCCAGATGCATGACTGCTCCACGTAACTCGAGTCGCCGTGCCCTCCATGGCCACTGAGGTCTCTGCCCATGCCTCCAGGTCTGCCTGCCTGTACCAGCCGGCCTGTGAAGACCTTCCCCGACATATTTTTGGCCTGCTGGCTGTAGCCAGAGGTGTGCCTGTACTGGGTGTCCTCGGATGACCAAGAAGCCTGGGCTGGTAGGGTGAGGAGGTGAGCCGCATCTGGTCAGGCTGGGCCGTCACCTTGACAGTGCCGGCAGGCCCTCAGTACCATCCTCTACTGGCCACCCTCAACCCAGGGAAACTTCTGGAGCCAGCAGAGGTCCCAGTGATCTGTGGTCGGTGGTCCGAGTGTGTGGCAAGGATGTCTGTGCCGACAGTGACTGCTTGGTACCCTCGGATACCATCTGGGGTCAGGGTGGGCTGCTCATTCCAGACCTGTCCCCACAGCCCTCTGGCCTCGCTGGGAAGGAGCGCCCCAGGCCTGCCTGGTGAGAGGCTCTGCCGGCGTGTTTGGTTTTGCTAATCCTCCCTCCCACCCCCACCTCCCCCGCCATTCCTCTTCATGGTTATCTGCCCAGGCTGCTTTGCTCTGATCTGTAGCCTCCTAGAGCCCTTTGCAGCGTGGCATTTAGTGGGACTCAGGAGTCGATTTGCATCCTGTTACTCTGAAAATCCTGTAGGATGGTTTGTTATCAATGGAGTGTATTCCAGGGGGAAGAATTAAAGCTCTCTGTATTTCTGTGTAGTACATATGCGCCTACCCATTGACCAGTTGGTCACGTTAGCTCACTCTTCTGTCCCATGATCTGCAGGTGACATTACTCACCTCCTTTTTCAGGTGAGGATGCTGGAGCACAGAGGTTATATGAGTTGCCCAGGCTTAGGTGGCCACACAGTGATAGCCTGGGTTTGAAGCCAGAGCCCCCGCTCTTCATGAGCGTTCTCCGTGGTGCGCATATCTCCTTGTCTGTGTTAGCTGCTCCGCTGCCAATGTAGAACCAAAAGCCTAGCCTGTTACACAGTGGGATGGCTCCCTGCGGGCAGCTGCATCGTATAGCTGAGTTTTCGCTGAATGCACTCCAGGGAAGAGGTGAGTCCAAACTCCAGCTTCAGGCTCCCAACAGCCCATGCCAGCTCTCCCACGTCCCCCGGTCACTAAGTGGTATCTTGGTACCCAGAATGGAGGCTCTGTGACCACACATGGCTCTTCTCCTTCCTTCACTGCACAGATCCACCTGCACATCCTAATAGCCGTGCCCTACCCAGGTAGATCCAGACTTCAGTCCCTGGTCTACACTGTTGCCGCCCCACCCCTATTTATTGCCATAGGCTTGGAGCCACTCTCATTCTCCCTGTCCTGTGTACTCTCAACCCCGCAGCTGGAGGGAGCCTTGTAAAGAGAGGTCAGAAGCTCGAGTGGCTTTGCAGCTCCAGCAGAGCATGGGACGCGGCCCTGTTGCCTCCGAGCCTTCCCTCAGGCCGGGCTTCCTTGCTCCCTTGCTCCCTTGCTCCTGCCTGTCCCAGGAGCGTCTTGCTTTTCTTCCAGGCATTCTTGTTCGTTCATCCTCTCCTTAAGGGAAACTTCTTGATGCTTCTCTGCATTATGGCAGCAGGCTGGTTACCATAACCATGTTAATTGTCTTCACTGCCCTTGTAACCAGCTGAAATACGAATTTTCCAGCCCCAGTCCCTGTTAGTATAGTGTATGCCCTTCAAAACCAGGAACTTTGTTTCATTCGTGGTTGCATCCCCGGCTCCCAGAAGACCACCAGGCACATGGGCGCAGGAGAGAAATGTTGGGTGGACTAGTTACTGGGTTGTAGTGGCCGCTTTCCTTTATGGTAAGTGAACGTGGTGAAACTTCCTGTCATCTCATATTCCCCTCTTGCTGCTGCTTGGGGTTCTGAGGAGCTCGTGCTGTGCCCTGCGAACCCCTTAGTCCACCTGATCAGTTGAGAATTCCACATCTGAGGACAGCCTGGTGCCTTTTTAGTGACTGTTTAGAAACTCCCTCATGCTGTGAGATGAGAGCTGCTTTGTTTGCAGAGTAAACTGTGAAAGCCTCCAAGAAGCAACTTGATTTAGTGCCTCCTTGGCAGCAGCCAGGGCTCCCGGTGTCCCTTAGCCACCCCAAGAATGCCTGCATTGTTGGCAGAGGTGATAATTCATGTGTTGTCTTCACACCAAGCAAGCTTTTGTGCCAGAGACAGAAGGGAGAAGATCTCTGGAGCTGTCCATGACCGCAGTTAATCCAGAACGTGGCGGGCCTCAGTCTCTGTGGGCACCTTCTGGTGGCAGGAGGCAGAAGTCCCGAGGGAGGCCTTTCAGAATGTGTTTTGTTTCCTTTGTCACACAGAATTCTGTTTCCCAGCAAGAATTTGATGAAGTCACTGACTTCATTCTTTTCTGTCCAATTGAGATACCATGCCTTGCTCTTGTCAGACGGCTCTATGGAGCGGTCTGGGGAGAGACTCACAGGCCTGCCTCAGCCAGCCTGTCTTTAGAAACACTCGGTTTATTGAGGAAGGGAAATAAGGAGGCGCGTCCACCTATTTCCTTTTCTGCTACATTTCCAACAAGTCACTTCCGAGATGAAGCCCTCTTCGGGGTGGTCGGAGACGGCTCAGTGTCTCGTCCTCCCTTTCCAAGCGGGACGGGCGTGATTGCTTACCTTGCAGCTGTGTTTTTGAGCAGATTCCTCATGCCTGTCTTAGCATCTCACTCGCTGCTGTACCAGATGCCTGTGAGGAGGACTCAGGGAGTATGTCACTAGGTTAAGTGCATCATACATCAAAGCTATATTTTAAGTGGAATCATGTAGAAGTTCAGCCAATTTTGCATCTCAGCTTAGAAAATAGATGAGTATGGTTCAGGTAGAGCTATTGTCCTACGTTTATTTTCGAAGAGACTTTGGCCCACTGTTCAGCAGCACATTCACAGGAGGGGTTCACTCTGCTTTCCACCTTACGTGATTTTTCCCAGGTTTGGATTTGCCCAGGACAGGTCAGACGTGGCAGAATTGGGGTTTGAATCCAGTTCTATATCATTTTAAAAGCCTTGCTATTCTTCCAAAGGGAAATTTTGGAAAAATCATACTTCTAAGACCAAGTCAAAGCTGGTATGATGTTTAGCCTTTTTACTGATACTGTGGTATGTTAAGTGATTCTTACATTGGGCCTTTGTTTGTGACAGAGGGCCATAGGATTTGTTAAACAGTTACTAAATGGTACTAAAGTATAGTGAGGAAGACTTTATTCAGGACCATCATGACAGGAATACGGATCATTGCAGTGGGATTTTTCAGGGGGAGAAAGACTGGGATCAACTCCAAATACAGTACAGGCAAGCAGAATTTTCAGCCAAGGAGCAGGGAGGAGATGAGTGGATAGAAAATGATTAAGAGGAAGCCTCAGAAGTAAAGAGGATTCTTTCTAAACCAATCTAACAGGATTCTTGCTGATGACAGGCCAGGGTGATCGGACACACTCTGGGGGATATGAGGAGTGAGGAATGTGAGATATCGAGGGTAAGGGTTTCTCTAAACTGACTTAGCAGGGTTCTTGTTAAAACTAGATTTTACAAGGAAGTGCACAAATGGGCCTAGGAGAAGGTACTAGAGCCTGAATGAAGTTTGGCCAAGCAAAGAATCTTTGTCACATCTTAAACACATAAAGCACAGCAGCTGGGGACATTGCCAAGTGATCATGAGAGCTCCTTGCTGCTCCTCACCCCCGGCTGGTCCTCTCCCCTGTTGGTGACTCCTTGATCATCACGCTGCTTTGACCCGCACACAGCCCTTCGTTCCCCGGCCCCCTGTAGCAGCCTTGACTCTTGCATGAATCTCCTTGCATCTCTCCTGTTCTGTGAAATGAAGCCAGAGGGACCGAATCTCACACCCTGTCTTCTGTTAGAAGAACAATGAGGAGGCTGAGGGAGCTCTGCTGACGTCAGCTGTCCACACCAGATCCCTGTGATAATCATGGCCAGATTTTGCTGCACACCCAATTTGTGCCAAGTCCCTGTGGGCCTTATCTTGAAGTGGGGGAGATAGAAGGCCTCAGACCACACTGGGAGGGCTGTACACGGGCTGCAGTTGAGTTCTAGAGCCCGGGGAAGACAGATAGTTTGGATGGGGCATAATTGCGTTGCATCTTCTCTCTTGCACACACACCCTTTCTTTTACTTTACATTTTCACATTAGCACACTGAATATTTCATACATGAATTACACATCCTCATGTTGCAAAGTACTGTGTTAGTGAAATAGGGAGGGTAATTTAATCCCAAGTATAGATGATGGATGTGATATGCTATAGAAACTGAAATCCAGCAGGACTGTTAAGGATAGAAGGAAGGAAGTGTTCCAGGCTACCACTGACATTGCATCTTAGCCTAATGCACACACGGGAGCATACAAACCTTCAAGACTCTGTCAGCAAGGCCTGTCGGGGTGTGCAGTGGGCGTCCCACGGGATCCACGCCTTTCCACTGCAGCCCGGCAGAACAGCCACCTCTTGTACTAGGGACTATTTCGTTGAGGCCCAGTTGCTTTGTGGACATCAGGTGGGACCTCAGAGGGGGTGCTGCTGAGCGGCTTGTGTCACCGAATCTGAAGGGAGCAGAGCTTACCCGGTGACCGTGGTGCCTGCAGATGAACCTTGTGTCGGTGCTGGCTGGGCGGGGAGCTGCCCCTGGCGAGTCATGCAGGGAAATGCGCCCACAGTTGTAAATCTCCTTCCAGTGCGCTTTGAATGAGGCAACGGTGGGAAACACCCAGCAGCCTGCAGGTTATTTCGGGAGCCTTTTGGACTCCCCATACTGCAGCCCTTTGGGATGAAGTGACATTCAAGCTGCTGAGTGTCTCCGCCACAAGCCCCTTGTTTGGTTGAGCAGGTACCTGGTGTGGTTCTTCACATCCTGAGCCTGGCAGCCTGGGTTAACCCGTCCCGGTCTGGGGGTTATCCAGCATGTGGTTCCCTGGATTGTGTTCCCCCCAGGGCACACATTTGGGTGGAATAGAAAGCGGCCACTGTGCTCTTCCATGGCTCCTCTCTGAGAGGCGGCGTGTGCGTGGATACCGCAGCTCTGACGGGCGAGCCTGGGCTTTCGATCAGGCTGAAGACTGGCCTCGACTGGCTTGTTGAAGGCCACTGCCACTCTGCACAAAGGTGGGCTTTCTGTGAATGTGGCTGGAATGCACCGGCGGACTGGTGAGCCCACCGTCGCAGTGACCCTGACTGAATGCGGTGGGAAGGTGCAAAACAAGTAGCAGAAGTGCATCTGTGCGCTCAGCTTTGAGAGCAGAGCCCTGGACGCAGGCAGAGCAACAGGCAGGACAGCAGCACAGCCCCAAACCCACCTGTGGAGGAGCCTGTGACGCGGGAGTTGCCTAAATCCAATACTCACTACAGTGAGGTCATAGAATGGCCTGGTGCCAGTCTGAGAGCCACAGTTTGAAAAAAAAAAAAAAAAAAATTGTACAGGCAGTTCCGAAGTTATGAACACAATAGGGCAGGAAGAAGAATCCTGGACTTGGAGTCAAGATAAATTTGACTCTGCTGGGTGCAGGTCACTGCAGCACTTTGACCTTCCATCAGCTCATCTCCAAAATAAGGTTGTGAAAAACAAGAAGAGTTACACCTACAGCACTGGTGTAGAGGCGAGTTTCCAGGCTGAGGGAGCTGGCAGTAGGTGGACCTCCTCTCCTACCAAATCAGGCCCCCCGCTTCCTGCCTTCCTCACGTGTATCAGAAGGATCAGCCAGGCCAGAGAATCAGGTTCAGACAGAACTCAAGGAATTCCCCTCTGCTTCCAAGAGGCCCATGCCCATCTTTCCTCAATGTTCCTTTACTGAGATTTGTTGCAGCTGTAGTTTCTGTGTTGACAGGAATCTCCATTCCTCAGTATCTCCAGCCTTTTCTCAGTGGAAGGCCTTACCCCCAAGAACAGAACCTACATAGATAGAACTGATACACCTGTGAAACTGGCATATGTAAATGCTTATTAAGAAAACACAGAGATAGCCTTTGAACCTGCTAAATAAATAAGACATTCAGGAGGTTTGAGGCATGTGCTTTTTTTTTTTTTCTTTTGAGACAGAGTTTCGCTCTTCTTGCCCAGGCTGGAATGCAGTGGCGCGATCTCGGCTCACTGCAACCTCCGCCTCCCAGGTTCAGGCGATTCTCCTGCCCCAGCCTCCCGAGTAGCTGGAATTATAGGCATGCACCACCACACCCTGCTAGTTTTGTATTTTTAGTAGAGACTGGGTTTCTCCATGTTGGTCAGGCTGGTCTCGAACTCCCGACCTCAGGTGATCCGCCCACCTCGGCCTCCCAAAGTGCTGGGATTACAGGCATGAGCCACCGTTCCCGGCCATGCATGTGCTTTTCTTCCCCACCTGCTCCTTCCCCTTTTCCTTCTCAGAGCTGGAGGGAGGAGCTCCAGGGAAGCTGGGCTGAGTGTCTGGGGGTGAGGGGGCTGGTGCTGTTCTCAGAGCTGCTGGCAGGGGCTCTTTTTTGCTGTCAGGCGGGAGGAGGCCCCAGGGTTGTTTAATAATCAAGCTTTTCCCAAAGGCAGTCTATTCCTCCCAGCTGCCTGCTTTCCACCACAGGAAGGCACACAAGCAAACAAAACCTCCGAGGGCACTCTCGTTCCTGTGATGCTGCACTTAGGAGATCTCCCCAAGCACCTCTGTTGCCATCTCCGCCTGAGTGGCGTGATCCGTGACGCTCCGCAGGTCGTTCAGCAGATGCTTATCCCATGCTAATATCACACCACGCATCGTGCTGGGCTCCAGCAGGGCGAAGAGTGTTTGGACACCAGTCCTTCTGGGGAGTTCACAGTTGGGGGCAGTTGGCAAAGGGCTTTCCCTGGGGAATGAGCCAGAGGAAGCTTCTCCAGGAGATGGCATCAGAGCCTGTCCCTAAAGGATAAGTAGCACTCTGCCAGGTGGAAAGTAGACAAGAGGGTCTTGGCCGGCAGAGCAAAGAACACAAGCCAAGCTATGGAAATGTGGAGCAAATGTGCAGTGGAAACAAAGGAGAATGTGACCCTCCCTCCTGCCTCCTCCTCCGCGTCACTTTCAGAGTCTCCTGCATGGCTCCACCTTGGCCTTACATTAGAATCTCCTGGGGAACTAGCTGTAACAATACCAGGAGATGCCGGCCTCATCCCAAACAGTCTGTGGACCAGCCTGGGCGGCGTCCCCGGCTCTGCTGTTGGGCAGTCGGAGTGAGGAACCCCAGTTAAATGCACGTGTTACTGTTTGTGTGTAGATCTGTCACCTAGCTGGACTCTGAGGTCACAGCCCTCAGAGCCTCACATGATGCCTGACACATCATAAGACTCCAGCAGAAGCAAATTCCTTCAGGCACTGTCTTTTGAGGGAAGACTTTACGCATCTATACCAGCTGCACGCTTTAGGTGTTGCTGCCCCCGTCTCACTGTTGGGGCATGGTCTCGAAGTAGAGTGCGGGATGTGGCGCTAGATGCTTGGAGTCAGCATCACTGCCCCCTGGGATCAGTTTCGAGGTCAGTCTATGTCCCCTGAAGTTCCAAGGACACCTACCCAGTACTGGTGTGGTTTTCTCAGGAGGCCTAACTGTTGGTTTCCTTCCAGGTATACGGATCTGGGTCTCAGACAAGGGCGTTCCAGTACGTCAGGTAAGACCGTCCTGCCCCGCCCCAGCCTTAGCAGTGCCTTGGAGCAGGCCTACTTGACAGTTCAGTGTCTTGTATATATTAACCATTTCCATTTCCACAACACTAACACTATATATTGATTAAAAATGTTTAATTTTATGATGGGAAAACTTGCTGTTCTCTGTTTAAAAGTTAAAATTTGCATTCATCTCCATGACTATTGTGACTCATGTGCTAATCTTTTACTGCCACCTAGCGGTGTAGCGCTGAAGTTGCCCAGCTCTGAGGGTGACTTGGGTGATTTCAGCGGAAGTTAAGAGATGGCCTTATGCATCCAGCAAACCTGTGAATGCCAGAATCTGACCCATTGCAAACGTGGCTCGCGGGGTGGAAGAGGTAGTCCTTGTGGAGGGCACAAGGTAGATAGTGTTCTCATGTTGAATTTCATGCTGACACTAAATGCAGATAAAAATATGTTTTTTGAATAGATTCACGTAGTGATTTTTATTGTTTTCTTGGCAATCCTTATAAATCCACTGTTTTGTTGTTCCATTCCACTGGTGATTAATTTTAGAAGGCAGTATGGATTCTCAGAGTGGTTAGGATAGAAGCAGTTGCGTATGCCAAAGTGCATCCACCAATATGTGGCTACTGTAAATTCTGTGAAAGTTTCTGGTATCCTGAATTGTTATAAAACCCAGTTCTATATTTTGAACCCATATATTTTCATTCTTCATTGCAAATACCCCAGTATGCCTGTCAATCAGGAAGTGTTATTCCTGCTGTCTTGGCGCCATCCCAGGGGCACTAGGGTGAGATGGTGGCTGTTGTGGTGCAGGTTGGGGTGGTGCAGGTCAGGGCAGCCCCCGAGTCCCACCTGAGCCAAAGCAACCACATAAAATTCTATCTACCCAGGACCCTTAGGTAAGCGTCCTGGGTAGGAGTCCCTAGGAGAAATGAAACTGGTAGTCAACTAAAATTTTAAAAACAATTCAAAATAACCACTGTAGATTTTTGCTGAAAGTATTTGTGAATTTCCATTTACTCCAAAAGAAAGCTGTGAGTAAACATTTACACAGTCAGTGGTTTTTTCCTCCGCATCCATTAGTATCTTGCCTCAAGGGGCAAAAAGCCCGAAAGTGTACTATAACCAACTATGTTGCCTAAATAGGCATGCATATTCTAAAAAGCGATTTAATGGGGAAATGGCAGCTGCCCCCACTTTGGGACTGTGTTCATTTCAAAGCATTTAGCATAGGCACTGTGTCCCTGGAGGAACTATCATGGCACACTTCTGTATGGGAACCAAATTGTGGGCCTCCCGTGGATTGAGTACCGTCTTCGCATAGTGACAGGTTCTCATCCCATCCTCCACTCACCCAGCTGTGCCCTTTCCTGAGGGAGTTTGGCTGTCCTCGGTTATGTGTGCCTGCCTTAGGCTTCCTCACCAGTGGCCCCCAGGCTTCTCCAGCCCCCACACCACATGGAATATCAATGAGATGTTGTGCGGTAAAAGGAAATCAGTCAGAACCCATTCTTCTTTCTGCTCTCATTATCTCAAGGGCATTGCCTGCAAAATTCATTTAAAATAGCCTCAGAGACTTTTCTTTTTCTAGGGACTAAAATACTTTGAGCATTCGATGATGCCTGCGCTATGTGCTGTCCCAGCTCAGGACAAAATGCACCCAGGGTGCCTGGCCCGCTCTGATGGGCGAGACTCCCCTGCCCCGTCACTCTCTCTGTGCCCTAGTCACTGTCCTGTGCCTGCTTTGATGGTTGTGGCTCATGCTCCTAGCTGCCATCACATGCATCGTCCTCTCGCACACCACTTGACTATTTGAAAAGAGGGCATGAGCAGTTTCCCTAGACATATGGTTGTTAACCCTTTTAGAAAACCCCTTTTCATAACACTTCAGTAGTATTTATTTACTCCCCACTCTGGTGATCCTCTCTGGTTTCACGGTAGTGGAGCTTGAGATGACGAGGCTTCAGGGACTTTGCCATACTTGGGCAAGGGTTTCCCGACTTAACTTTTTAGTCATTGAGGACTCAACTGAGTTTATTAACTGACCAAAGTTTTGATGTTTTTCACAAGCAGTTTTTTAGGAACCGAGCATCTTTTAGTAATGCACAATGTCTGGGTCCATAGTTACTGTATTAAATTAACCATTCTCCAAACCCATGATTGCCTCAAAACAACAGTGCAGGGAGTCTGAGGTCTAGGTGGCCATCCGCATCGACATTTTGGCATGACCGTGTTTAATATTCTCATGGCCGGTTTTGTCCTCATTTACATAACAAAGGCATGCTATTTTTTTTAAAAAGTCACTTTGTCAAAATGACACTTGTAAAGAGCTTCAGGTTAAATGAGTGTGATCTATGCAATTGTGACCTTAAAAGTTGCCAGTTTGTCAGGTAGAAGGCCCATGGCCCTCCCGTCTGCCCCCCTGAGGATGACTACCTGAGAGTCAGCCTTCTTCCAACTCAAAGAGACCCACCCCCCAGTTTCAATATGAAAACCTATTGTGGATGCAGTGGAATGGCAGCTTTTAATGTCTTTTTACAAACGTGCACAGGTGTACGTCATGAGTGCGCTGTTGTAATGTAACAGTACTGCCATAGTGATGAAGTGACTTTTTGCCAGTTTCTATAAAAGAGAAATCATCCAGGGTCAGCAGGGATTTGCATTAGTGCTTGATCCTTGAGAATACAACATTTTAACCATGTTCGTATGAAATACGCATTTGTCATAAAGGAACACGCAGAAATATCTTATTTACTAAATACCCCAATAGTTTTTTTCAATTGAAAGCAAAACCTATCTGGGGTTTTCTTTTGGAAGTTTATCCAGACCCAGCGTGACCTGCTCCTCACTGGTAATGATGGAGGAGGAGAAGGAGAAGGGTCAGAGCTTTAAAAGTCTTCTAAGAATTGTAGCTCATGGAAAATTGGCATAGAAAAAGTGCTTGTGCTTATTAGCAGTGAGGTGTCATTTTTACGAAGTAACTTTTTTTTAACAGAGCCACACTTTAAAGCTTCTGAAACTAAGAGCCAAACCTTGGTAAGCGAAAGTTTGCTTACTTATCTTCACCTTCATGGCCCAGCTGATCACAATCCATTTGAAACATCCGAATATCCCTGACCGTTTTCATACGAGCTGTTTTGCGGGATGGCGACTTCACCGTCGGGAGCATAGGGAGTGACGTTTCTGTTTATTTAACCCTCAGTATTGTCTGGCTTTATCTGTGATTTGCCGGTATGGGGATCACATACTGGAGTTCCTTCATTTCCGTGGATCTTGTTTTTAAAAGTAATCACGTGCTTTCGTACAGGTCAACTACTGGGTTCACATTAAACATGAATTTTCTTTGGAAACTTACGTAAACTCCATCTTTTTTGAGTGTATGCCTGTTTTAACTTATGCTTAGTTTTTCATTGTTAAAGGACTTCAGAAATGCAGTGGCAAACTCAGCCCCATCTCTCAGCTTCCATCCTATTTAACCATCTCCACCACACCCAGAAAAAGCAAATCCCAGACGTCAAATATATCATTTCATCCATAAATACTTTCACATTATAAACACCATCTTAGTTTGCGGGATTTTATTTTGACATTCAATTTTCCATTTGGGTTTTTATTTTCTTCTGGGGGTGGTAATTTTTCTTCTGGGAGGGTTTCTACGTGGCGCGTGGCACTAGCGCGGTGTGTGGCACTAGCGCGTTCCAGCAGGCAGAGCCTCACCCGCCTCCCCTTTTTTTACAGTGATCTGGTGAATGGCCTCGTGGCTCTCATGAACAGCAACGTCAGCAGCCCAGTCAACCTGGTGAGTGCTCCTCTCCCTCCACTCTGCAGGACAGCTCAGACTTTCATTCATTTGTGAAACCATGAGCAGCACCAGGCTTTGCTTCATTTGCTCTCAGCACACTTAAGGCATTCGTGTTTGTTGCTTGCTAAATACTAGAGGAAAAACAAACAGAAAGTAAGAGTATACAAAGAAGTAAAATATCTGCAAGGCATGGATGAGTGATGTAATTAGTCCCTCCACCTTCTGAAGGGCCCAGGTCTAAAATTGTGTGAAGCCCTTTGGTGGTAGTAGGTGGACATGTGTATGCCTCTCATTCTCTTTTTACTAGGTGGGTCGTCATTATAAGACCTGATTGCGTTTTTAGAAGATGGAGGTTGTTCAGAGAGAAAGTTTTCCAGTTTTTGATGATGTCTGTCATTTAGCCGGACAGACCACCTTCATGGCTTCTTGCCTTCCCTGCATGCCTGCCCGCAGCCCAGAACCTCCTTGTTGGAGGGATCATCCAGTCTTGAGCAGTTTCAGTGCTGGTGAACTTGCTTCTGCTCAGAAATTCACCCCGTCTTTGGACAGTTCTGGCTGGCAGAAAACTCTTCCTTATATTGAACCAGAAATCTCACTTTCTGCACACCTATCCACTGACCTCACTTCTCCACCTGGGGGCCATTCATGGCAGTGTGATGCCTCTACATTGTGGTAACTCTCCAAAGATTTGAAGGCCATGGTCCTACGCGCCAAGCCTCCTCCTCCTCCTTGGCTGCGTCAGCCAAGGTCATGGTAGGACCTCTTACCCTTTCTATCACTGAGTGATTTTCTGAGCAGTTTTGTTCCATCTCATTTAAAATGCAAGGTTTCCAATGTGGACTGGCCAGCATTCAAGATGTTCTGCGTCTGTTGATGGCAGTGGACACAGGAACCCCTTAGCTCGCTAGAGACCTCCCCCTTAATCCTACCTCGATGAAGCCTTGGGGTCATTTCAGGTGCTTCTCCCAAACTACCTCTCCCGGTTCCTACACGACATTCTAAGGTTCGGGGAACTCTAAAATGTTGGCCATGTGACCTGTTTCTTGCAAACCATGTCACCTTTGCTTATGCATGTCTTTGTAACCAGCCATCTCAAATACATTGCAGACCGTGCATTTTCCCCCGAGGGGAAAGGGAATTCTCATCACGTAGGGAAGAATGTGCCCTGGAGTGCTGACTCCATCCTGGGACTGTTGCAGATTCATGGGTACAGTGTGCCGCGTTTGAAAAAAACATTCACTTAAAACAGACCAGAACGTGCCTTGCACTGTGAGCCTCATCTTGCTTGCAGCATTTGCCTGTGTACACCGGAGAGGCCTGAGCCGCCCCTGCTCTGCGTTTTTGCTGCAGGTTCTTTAGCAGGGGTGTTGTCAGTGACTTCCCTGGGCAGCCAGGCTCTTCTCTGTAGATACCATGTTCCTCCTCCCCTCTTTGTGGAGGGCCTTTGCACAGGGACAGTTCATGAACTTGGAATCATGTGTGTGCCAGGAGCCCCGATAAAGGCAGAATCACTTTCTTCCAAATTCCCGTCGCTCCACTTTGCTAGTCAGTCCCCTCTGTGCTCAAGTGAGGCCCAGGGTCCTTCCCTCCACATTTACCCTCTAGCTTCAGGCTAACCAAAGACCTGGGCATGAAGAGGCTAAAGGATATAGAATTATCAGACCTTATGGTGGTCTCTTATGATAGGCGGCAGTGGCGGCAGAGTGGAGTAACAGGTGTTCTGATGTGTGATGGAAGGGAGAAAAAGAGCAAGTGGTTTTCCTTAAAGCCCCCACAAGTGTTCTCTCTTCATGAAGCGTATCGAGTTTGACCTCTGGCTTGCTGGGGACGCTCGCCTGTGAGCATACTCATTTCTGCCTTAGCTTTCGGGTGTGAGATTGCACGTCCTTCATCATTGACGTGGTTAACACAGCTCACCCAGAGGGAAATAGATGGTGTTAGGAGAGCTAATTTTGTAAACCCAAGCTTTTATAAAAGTGACATTGAAGTTATGTCGGATATGAAATTGTCTGATACTCAGCGAGTGAATGTGTGCCTTCATCAGAGACTCTGGACCTATCCAAAGCCCAGCCTTGTACACAGCAGCCGAGAGGCTGCAGGTATAGATGCAGTGCAGTTTAGCACTGCCAGGTGAGTAACTGTCATCTTGGAAGCGGAGTACGCTCTGGCACACGGAGCTCTGCTGAAGCACCGCAGAGAGGTCAGACTTGGCCAGCAGACGTCTCTGCAGAAACGCATGTGGTCTGGGTGGCGGTTGCTGCTGTTGTCATGACGCTTATAACTGGAAACCCTTTCTTCCTTAGGGGAACCCAGAAGAACACACAATCCTAGAATTTGCTCAGTTAATTAAAAACCTTGTTGGTAAGTAGGATAAATCACTTCCTGAGTAAAATCGGCTGTGCCTGCCCTATCTGTGGATAACACCTTGACTAGACAGCGGGTAATTAATACAAGCTAATTGAATTGGATCAAAGCAGAACTTTTTATCAGGAACACTTAAGTGTTTTCCAAGGAATAGAAAGATAAAGGAGGGCAGGATGGCTTTGCTCTCAGTTTTCATTGCAGGTTTGCATGGAGTGGGAGGGAGGAGGAGATTTGCTCCCAGTGTTTGAGGCACGATTGTGTTAGGTCATCCTACATGGGTGACAACTATTGGATTTCCGAACTGGTCATGTCAAGCATAGCATTTCAGACAGCAAGAGACAGCAGCCACCAGCTGTGTGCTTCAGGCAAGTTTAAAATTTTGTTTGCAGTTCTGGTCATCCTGGCCGCCAGCCACTGGGGGCAGTGTAGCATTGGGAGAGCCCCATCAAGGTGGGCTCTTACGCCATGAGAAGGTCAGGCCTTCCAGAGCAGCCCTGGATTGCAGACGTAGAGTGCATGAGCCCTTGGCCTCATCCTCAGACTTCCCGGAGCTCTGAGGAGTCAGACTCTTGGAGGATGTCTGTTGTCTGGGGTTAATCTTGAAATTTGAGTGAAGTCACAACCAGACTGGACTGGCAGGTAGGCCAGGGAGGAGCATGCCACAGTGTGTCCTGAGGTGACCATTCAGACCCCACTTGGCTGGGTTAATTCCTCCAGCGTGCCCTTCCTGCATCAGGCTGCCATTTACCGGTGTTGGTCCAATCACCGCGGACAGTTGGAATCCTCTCGTTGCTCGTGGCAGTAGAGGCAGTGGTCTTCCTCAGACGTAGCCTGCATCATCTGCGGCTCCCACAGCCGCTTCCATGCACTTCTCAGCTTTTCCATCCTGAATCTGTGTTCCTCCCTCGTGAGGAAGGGGCAGGCTCAGATCACAGCTCTCTGCCATCCACTCCTTCATACCCTCACTGCCCAGAGTGAGGCCCGTGGGCCAGCGCAGCAGTAGCATTGGGTGCCTGTTAGAAATGTGGACTCTCACACCCTAGCCCAGGCCCCCAGATCAGGATCTGCATGTTGACAGGCTCCTCAGGTGATCCGTGCATGCTGACGCTTGAGAAACTCTATTTGAAACCTAAGGTTTGGGGGAGGGGTGCGCAGCTTCCTGCTGTACTTCTGTGTGTAGCTTTGTGGCACACCGTCCTGAACCCCCCGTGGTGGTGATTTGCTGCAGAGTCTCCGGTGTGGCCTCCATGACGGGGAGGCAGGGAAAGCCTCCACAGGCTTTCTTCTGCAGGTCTGGCCCGCAGTCACTGGTGGGGCTGTATTCTGCTGGCCAGTGGGGCCTGGGCCCAGCAAGGGTGCAGAACGGGCCAGGCTTTGCCGTCCTCTGAGAGGTCCCTCCAGCTGGGTGGCTGCACATCTTGAGTCTCAGGGCTGTCCAGGCTCCAAGCACCAAGTGTGGCCCACTTGGGGCATCCACCTCAGGGATGGCCCCACACCACGTTTGTGGTCTCACACTGGGGTCATGCTCAGTGGGCACGTCTCACTTGTTACCTGGTGTGGGTGGTCTGCCTTGGAGCAGCCCTCTTGTACTGGGCGGAAACTCAGGCCTGTTGAGACAGAGTAACGTGCCTCCCACCAGGCTCTTGCTGGGCGCCTGCACAGTCAGCTTGGCCGCAGCGGTTGCAGGAGCGTTCCCTGGACTTGCGTGCAGGACAGTCCCTCGGGAGCTCTGGGGCTTCTCGAGAACTGCATCTCCACCGCCTGCACCCTATTCACACTGCATATGGGGTTTGACTTTGATGTGGATGGTAAGGCCGCGCTTCCCCGTGCTTTGTGATTCTCGCCTACCTTTTTTTCTTTAAACATCTCAGGTAGCGGAAGTGAAATTCAGTTTCTCTCCGAAGCCCAGGATGACCCACAGAAAAGAAAACCAGACATCAAAAAAGCGAAGCTGATGCTGGGGTGGGAGCCCGTGGTAAGTGCAGGGAGTTAATGCTGCCTTGTGGGGAGGGGCCTCCCGTGTCCTGTCTCTGCTGTCCTGTAGGCACTGACCCTTGTCAGGCAGCCCCCAGAGGAGCAAGGTGGGCTCGGCATCCAGGCAGATAGAGGGTTTTCTCCAAGCAGTAAACAGCCTCTCCTGTATCAGGAGTCTCAGAGAATGTTACCTGGGAAGCGGCTGGAGGCCCCTGCTCTGGGCCTCTGTTTTCGTAAAATTACACACACACACACACACACACACACACTCTCTCTCTCATACTCTCATACACACACACTGTCATACAAACACTTGTACACATATTCTCACACTGTCTGCCACACTGGCATATATGCACTGTTACACGAACACACTTAATACATGTATACTCACACTGATTTTCACACATACACATTCACACTATCATACACATTCTCACATTCATACACTCACACGCACACTCACACACATTCACACATACACTCCGCTTCCATATACGTACACTCACACACACACACACACACACACACACACACGGCTGACTGTGAACGACGTGCCGAGAGCACTGGCAGCGCACACTCAGAGCCCTGCGTGGCCCCGGTTGCCTGCCTCTCGAGTGTGCGGGGCCAGGTCAGGAGCAGGTGGTCTGCATCAGCCCCACAGTGGAGCCCCTGGTTGGAAGCATGTGAGACTGAAGGGTGTGGAAGAAGGGGAACTGCATGCCACCTTGTCGTCTGAAGGGGGCAGGGTGGGAGCAGCTGCCGCCCCCCTGGTGCTGAGCCTGAACCCAGCCTGCCTCTGCTCTGCTTCCTGCTGTGCCCTTCCTGCCTTGGGTGACTGCAGAGTCCTCCCCGCCGGAGAACGCTCGCCCTCAGGGCTGCCTGTGTCCTTCAGAGACCACCTGTGTAGGGAGGTTGGCTGGGCCGGCCGCATCTACAAAAGCAAGCCTACCTCATTTACTGTCAGCTCTGCCTGGCTGTTCCCTCTTTGCCCACCCTCATGTGCCCCACTGAAACTCAGGCTCCCCTTGGGCAGAGGCGTGTGGCCCTGTGTCCAGCAGGAGCCCAGCACCTGTCAGACCTGACACACACTGGGTGCTCGGCCAATGTAGGAGCGTCTTGGCGTGGCCCATGGGTTGTGGCGCAGTCAGAGAGTCAGGGACTCAGTTGAGAGCTCCGTTTACCTTTTTAAAATGTGCATAGTGAGAGCTGAGTAGAATCCTAGAATATTGAACTTTAAAGGGACACGAGAGTTCCAGCCTGATGATCCTTATTTCATTCTGTGATGTCCAAGTCTAAGTGATCTGCTAAAAGCCACAGATATTTGTTGAATGAAATAAAAATACAATTATACCCAGACTTCACAAAATCTAATAATCCCAAGCTGTGCAAAACGAGTTATAGCAGCTTAGGTAGTTTCTTGTGTTTTGAAGCTTTGTAAGGGGCCATTGGTCCCTTTGTAAGGAGAACCTATATTTTTAAACAAAATATTTTTTGAAGAGTTAAATGTGCATTCGCTAGGTATTAACTCTTGCTTTTGATGTGAGGTGTGTGTATGCTCAGTATCTTTATTTTTCTGGAATTTAGACCTACAGTATTCTAACATTCTTGGAATGTGAGCCATCTACCACTGGTTTCTCTCCTAGTAGTAGTTTTAATTTGTAATAAATTTTTGAGGGATATGATCCAAAGAAACTTACAGGCGTTATCCATCTTAATTGTCCCAAGTGTGTGTGTTTAACAGCTTGTTGAGCTATAATTGGCATACTGCAAACTGCCCATATTTAGAAGATACAGTTTGATAAGTTTTCATCTATTTTGACACCTGTGAAACCATCCCCACAGTCAAGCTGACAGAAAGACCTTCTCCGCCAGTGGTGCCCCAGCACCCCTTGGCAGTGCCTCCCTTCACCTTTTCTCTTTCTGCTCTTACTCAGCAGTTGATCTGGCTGGTTTCCTGTTGGCTGCAAAGCAGCTGCAGATGAAGGTTGCTTTCTGTGGTGTGGGCTACCGTGGGTCCCCTCTCAGACTCAGCCTCTTAGTATGGCGGGGCTGCAAGTGGGCCACGATCCGCTGGGCAGTGTAAAGGGCTGATGTCACGTGGGAGAATCAGGCGTGTTGATCAGATGCCGATCACCTTCCCAAAGCATCTTCCCGCCACTTCAAGGTGGATTTCTTCTGAAAGAATGGGACACATGGGCATTATCTGAAAAACAGTCTTGCCAGCTGATTGAAACCGGAGCAGACATTATACCGGCAAGAGGTGGTTGGGGTCTTTTGTGGGCGGAGCTCACTTTGCTTCAGTAAGAGTGACACTTGTTAGCTCCACATTACATTCTGAAAGTGGCCCTGAAGGACCTCTGGCTTCTCTCGGTTGGCCGTGATGCTGGATGCTGGATGCTGTCACAACCAAAGCGTGGTTCTGTGCGCGTTCCTCTGAAGGAGGCCTGACTGGCTGCAAGGTGGCACTTCCTTCCTGCGATGCCCTTCTGTCAATGTGACCTTGTCTCCCTTTCTCGCTTTCCCTTTAAACAGGTCCCGCTAGAGGAAGGTTTAAACAAAGCAATTCACTACTTCCGTAAAGAACTCGAGTACCAGGCAAATAATCAGTACATCCCCAAACCAAAGCCTGCCAGAATAAAGAAAGGACGGACTCGCCACAACTGAACTCCTCACTTTTAGGACACAAGACTACCATTGTACACTTGATGGGATGTATTTTTGGCTTTTTTTGTTGTTGTTTAAAGAAAGAGTTTAACAGGTGTCATGAAGAACAAACTGGAATTTCATTCTGAAGCTTGCTTTAATGAAATGGATGTGCCTAAAAGCTCCCCTCAAAAAACTGCAGATTTTGCCTTGCACTTTTTGAATCTCTCTTTTTATGTAAAATAGCGTAGATGCATCTCTGCATATTTTCAAGTTTTTTATCTTGCTGTGAGAGCATATGTTGTGACTGTCGTTGACAGTTTTATTTACTGGTTTCTTTGTGAAGCTGAAAAGGAACATTAAACGGGACGAAAAATGCCGATTTTATTTATAAAAGTGGGTACTTAATAAATGAGTCGTTACACTATGCATAAAGAAAAATCCTAGCAGTACTGTCAGGTGGGTGGTGCACCGGCATTGACTTTAGGGCAGATAAAAGAATTCTGTGTGAGAGCTTTATGTTTCTCTTTTCATTCAGAGTTTTTCCAAGGTCTACTTTTGAGTTGCAAACTTAAGACTTTGAAATATTCCTGTTGGTCATGATCAAGGATATTTGAAATCACTACTGTGTTTTGCTGCGTATCTGGGGCGGGGGCGGGTTGAGGGGGACAAAGTTAACATATTCTTGGTTAACCATGGTTAAATATGCTATTTTAATAAAATATGGAAACTTACCAGTCATGGACTTCCAGTTTTAAAGGTTGTCTTTCTGCTTCGGCATGGCACTTGTTGGACTGCTAAGGAAAATACTGGAAAATGTAGTTTAAAAGAAAATCTGAAAACATTCAGGTTTGTGCACTGTGTAATCTGATATGTAGCGATTGAAAACATTTATATGCTACTCGGGCTGAGTGTATGCATATAGTGTTCACTGCCATGTGACGTTTTCAGATCTTAGCCAGGGTTAGAATCAGTTTTGTGACCTTCCTTGGCAACACAGACCAGATGGAGAAAAAAAGGTGCAAGTTGTCTCCTCTGGAGAGATTTGTGAACTAGGCTTATTGAGTGAAAACTCTGAGAGCTTATGTTTTCAATAAGAACCCTTTCAAGGTTCAGTGTTAGCATTTCGTTTTTCGTCTTAATAAATGGAAGAACAATGCGATACGTTAAAGCTCCACATTTTCCAAGCAGATTGGCTCCGCGTGACAGCAACACAAACCTGAGCAGGCGCTGCGAGGATAAAGGTTTCTATGTATCAGAAGCATTTAAAAATGAGAGATCCTAAGATACCTAACCAGTGTAAGCTAGACTTGCCTGTCCTTTACAACCACCTTGGGATTCTTCTTAATTGGACATATTTTTGGAATCCCAATCTTGGGCAGGGCAGAGGACGATGTGGTTTTGTGTCTTTTTCGTGCTAAATTCTCCAGAAGATTCTGGAACTAGGGTCAGTGCTAGATTGGATGTGGTGTGTGAGAGAAAGAGGAATCAAAGATGGTTTCTTATTTATAATTTTAATTATTTTAGCCAGAAGTAAGTGACATACCGTTTACCGAGATGGGATTAACAGAGCTGGGAAGCTTATTTGGGAACTACTAATGGTGACCAAGACATTGAAGAAGGAGTATAGACAGGGACCGCTGAGAATTTGCAGGGGTTAAGTTCTACAGTGCAATCTGGGAGAACCTAAAGGCCCCAGGGTCCAGAATTCTCTTACCTTGTTACTTGCTAGTTAATATCTGGAATTCTTCCATGAGGTTCATTCTTTGGTTTTCTTGCCTGTGATTTTCATGCAATATTTTCAGGGGAGGGAGGGGGAAGGGGAAGAGGAGTTATATCTAATTTACCCTAAAGAAACAAGTAATGCGTCAAGGTTGTAGTGTAAGGTTCATTCCCATGAATGTCCTGGGAAGAGAGGGAAGTGGAGTTGAGGGGCCTGGAAAGGGATGAATGGGTAGACAGAGCATGGTTACTGTGGTCTGAATGTTTGTGTCCCCTGTAATTCATGAGTTAAAACCTAATCCCCAGTGCAATAGCATTAAGAGGTAGGATGCTTAAGAGGATTAGGCCATGAGGGCAGAGCCCTTTAGTGCCTACAGAAAAGGAACTTTTGTAGTTCCTTTTATAGGCACTAAAGGGCTCTAGGGAGCTTTTTTGCGTCTTCTGCCATGTTTTAAGGACACAGCAAGAAGGTGCTATCTATGAGGAACAACCCCTCACTAGACACTAAATCTGCCAGCACCTAGATCCTGGGCTTCCCAGCTTCCAAAACTACCAGCAGTAAATTTATATTGTTTATAAAGTACCCAATCTGAAGTATTTTGTTCTAGCAGCCCGAACAACTAACACAGTGGT